TTGGAGGGAAACATTATTATTTTTCTTACAAAATCTGAGACCAAGCATTTCACATTGCAAGACAAGTACCGGTAACAATAACAGAATAAACAACCAGGGCGCAGCAGCGCGGCACGGTCTCCAGCAGAGGATGGCGGTGGTTCAAACCCTCCCAGCGGGCGGGGAAAGTGCTCACAGCACCCCGCCACAGGCCGCAGCAGGTGATGGCGGTGTTTGAAACCCTCCCAGTGGGACAGAGGAGCTGAAACCTGGACCAGAGCCAGCCCGCAGCAGTGCGGTATACATAATTTGGTATACAAGTCACTTTGGTATATAAGTCGCAGCACCAGCCAGACTATGAAAAAAAGTGCGACTTATAGTCCGGAAAACACCGTAAGCCATTATGTTACAAGGGTTGACATAATCTACATAGATAAGATATTGCATCTCTGCAATACTCTTTAATTTTGAAAATTACCAGACATTTTACACTGATACAGTATGTGATGTCCTATCTAACCCTTACGCAGGCTTTCCCCCAAGCCCTTGCTCGGTCCCCCGCCAGGCCAGGCGTCCACTTCCCCACCCCTGCAGCCACGTACAACGTATGGTAGCGGAACGAGCTGCAAGGCCTTTTTCCACTGTTATGGGCGATGCACGGTCCTCCATTCTCAAAGACTATGAAGGACAGCGGAATAAACTGTGCACAAACCCACTCCCTTCTCACGATCTGCCGGGCCTAGCGAGTTTTCTGCGCGAAATGTAGGGTGAACTGCAGAACTGTATTGGGGTATTGTGGACTTCTATTTTGGGGGGCTTCATGGGCTTTAAGGGGTGTGGTCATAACTTTTTGATCAACTGTAAAACAGCCTGTTTCTGTCTCACTCTCATTTATTCTTGTTGCAACTAGAAGCTCTACTAAGAACCTTGTTAAGAACCAGCCAAGCAAAATATGATATCTAGCAATTTTTTAAGTGGTACTAAAATTTTAATAGGGGCCGTAGTTGATGTGAGTGGTTTACAGGTTTATAACATATGACCTCTTAACTTCACCTTTAAATAAAACACCAACTCTCGCTCTGCAAAACCATAAACCCCAACTCCCAACCAATCCCATTAAAAATGCTGAATCCAGGCCAAAAAAAACATCATGGTTTCGCCCGTATTACTGTAAAACCTCCAGTGGTTGTGCTGAAAATTATTACTCTGCTAATAAGATCTGAGAGGTTATATAAGCCTTTGTTCTTCCATGTGGCTGCAGACTGACAGTTGGCTCTCCCTTTGTCCTTACTGGCTCCTGAACTAACTCCGTTTTGGACGTTTTCAGTTTTAATTTAAAGATCAGTTACAATAACATCCATCACAAGATACTGTAACACAAAACTTCAACAGTTTCATGTCTGTACACCACTGTTTGGTGTTTCCAAAGAGATTAAGTTGATCTGAGTCAGCAAACAGATTCCAGAAAGTAACATTTAAGAAATAGAAGCTGTGGTTTGAAACACATTATCCTCTGTTGTGTTTTATTAACTTCTAACTTAAAATTCAAGGCATGAACATTCTGCAACCATCACTGAATTTATCAGTCGGTTCCGATGAGATGTAAGAAGCTTGTCTTACACGAACACGATGTAAATCTATTTAAAGCAACACTAAAGAGTTTTTTAGCAAGACAAGGCAGCTTTATTTATATAGCACATTTCATTCACAAGCAATTCAATGTGCTTTCCAGGTGCAAGATCAGCAAAAACATTAAAATCAACGTGACAGCAAAAAGCAGCAGATTATAAAAATCAAAGTCAAAAATACACAAATAAAATTAGATGTAATTTTGTATTGCTTTCAAAATGGATCAGTGAGACAGCAACTTGACAAAACAGTAAGGGTGTCTTTGGCGGTGAAGCAAAGAGGGAACATCGGTGCGTCCTACACTAGTCTGAGAAAGCTAATGAGGGCTACAAAATCACGGACTGGTGGTGACCTGGATTTGTTGCTACTGGACTTGTAAGTAAAACCGAGTCCACACTGGACGCATCAGTGTAACTTTAGTTCAAAAGGAGCAACTTCTCATCTGTACTCAGTTCGGAGACAGATTGTTTTCAGTTTTCCCTTTTAGTAGTACCCCGACACAGGAAGACTTTTTGGTTTGTAAACAGCGGCTTTAGAAGCCTTAGGCTGTGTAATTCTGCTGGGTACCGTTTTGGTACATTTTTTCCAATGGTGTGGGCTTAAAGTTAGTCCGTACCACTGTGATTGCCTCCCACTCTTATTAGGGGGAGAGGGGAACATGCGAAGCTCACCCCTTTCCAGACAGAAATATGTAACAGGGGTCCTGTTGGCTTCATCAGAACGTGATCTTCAGCTTTCGCTGAAGCAGTTCGCAGCCAAGTGTGAAGCAGCTGGGATGAGAATCAGCTCCTCTAAATCTGAGACCATGGTCTTGATTCGGAAAAGGATAGAATGCCTTCTCCGGGTCAGGGATGAGGTCCTGCCCCAAGTGGGGGAGTTTAAGTATCTTGGGGTCTTGTTCACGAGTGAGGGAAAACTGGAGCATGAGATCGATAGGTGGATTGGTGCTGCATCTGCAGTGATGCGGGTGTTGTACCGGTCTGTCGTGGTGAAGAGAGAGCTGAGTCAGAAGGCGAAGCTCTCGATTTACCGATCGATCTACGTTCCTACCCTCACCTATGGTCATGAGCTTTGGGTAGTGACCGAAAGAATGAGATTGCGGATACAAGCGACCAAAATGAGTTTTCTCTCCGAAGAGTGGCTGGGCTCTCCCTTAGAGATAGGGTGAGAAGCTCGGTCATTCGGGAGGGGCTCGGAGTAGACCTGTTGCTCCTCCACATCGAGAGGAGCCAGTTGAGGTGGCTCGGGCATCTGGTCAGGATACCTCCAGGACGCCTCCCTGGTGAGGCTTTCCGGGCACGTCCAACCGGGAGGAGACCTAAAGGTAGACCCAGGACACGCTGGAGGGACTATGTCTCTCACCTGGCCAAGGAACGCCTTGGGATTCCAGCGGAGGAGCTGGCCCAAGTGGCTGGGGAGAGGGAAGCCTGGGCCTCTCGCCTTAGGCTGCTGCCCCCGCGACCCAACTCCGGATAAGCGGATGAAAATGGATGGATGGATAATAATAATGAATCACACACAGTTGTGAACATTTTAATTTCCTTTCTGAACTATTTCTGTTGAAAGTTTTAGTGTTTAAATCTGTTAGATTGTTACTGACAGCAGCTGCATTTAAGTTTCACTTCCTGTTCTGACTGAATGCTGCTGCAGCATGGAGGTGTAGTTCTCAGTCATCCTGGACATGATCATCCTGAGAGTTTTAGCTGAAAACAGCTGGACGTTTCTGGATATGTTGGAGACATTTAGCCTCTCATCCCAGAGGTTTCTTCCAGACTTTGGTTGTGGTCAGAAACAAACACACTGATTGTGCTGCAAGTCTTTTTTTTTTCTTCTCCAAAACACGTTTTTGTCCAAATGAAGGTGATGTTATTGTTCATAGAATTAAAATTCATGTTGAAGTTAAGATTATTTCATCAAGTAGGACCTGTGGTTAGCTAGCTCATGTAAAACATGTCATGTCTTGAAAGAATCAGAATCGGGAATCGATAGGAACCGGAATCGAAATGAGGAATCGGAATTGGAATCGTTCAAAATCAAACGATGCCCAACCCTATTGAGAGAGGTGTTTTTGTTCAATCATCATTCCGATTGACTGCATGTACATGTCACAAAGTGGAAAAGTTTGGATGTAGTTTAAGTTGCATGATTTGTGTTTTACTGTTAATGCTTATTTAGTGCTTTGAATGGTTTTTTCCCTTTGTGGTACCTCCCAGAGAAACTAATTGCTCTCTTGGACTCTTACCTCAGTACCTTTTATACCCCGTTTTGAGTCCATGGCACCTGTGGGCATTCCACACCTGTTCCCATTTTTTCTAATTGGTGTCTCTGGGAGGTACCAAAAGGGAAAAAACCATTCAAAACACAAAATAAGCATTAACAGTAAAACACAAATCATGCAACTTAAACTACATCCAAACTTTTGCACTTTGTGACATACACAGCCGTTCAGATTGATGGAGTAAAATAATGCCCACTCCATCCTGGCGGTGGAGAGAAACAACGTTAAATGTGACATCACACAGCAGTGTCAGACGTGATCTACTTCATCTTCTTTTTTGGTTTCATGGCAGATGGCATAAATGAACCATGTGCTCTGAAGTCTCATGAGACTTGTGATCTTGCGAGTCCAGTTGGAAAGGACAGCAGCTATGCTGCTCCGCAGCTGGGACTCCCCCAGTGTGGACTGACGCCACAAAGCGTAAGCACACCGTCCCACACTGCTGATGCCTCCAGTGTGGACCCTGCATAATACTTTTTGTCCAACAGTGTGGATCTTTTAACTTCAAGGTTTGTTTTAATATTAGTTTTCTCATTTCATCATTAGCTTGTTGTTAGCGCTAACTACAGCAGGCTGCTGCAGGGTTGTTTATTGAAATTTGCTATCAGCCGGTAGGAGAGATAAGCAATAAACTTATTAAGTGTTGCTTTAAAAGTACAGAAAGGGAACAACCCAATGAGCTAAAAGCAGAAATATTCAGCAACATTTATGATGGGAAACAAAGAAAGAAGAGAGCAGGTTTGATGAAACAACAAGCAAAGACAGAAGGGCTGTATGTGACATGGGGGTCTGGGGAGATTGGAGAGGGGAAGGGGGGTGTAAGGAAGGAATTTGTCCCACCAAATTGCACCTCACACAAATAGACCGCTCTCCACTCTGTCAGAGCCAATTACTTACACAAACAGCCACCCACATGCATGTCTGTGCTTATTTGTGTATCTGTGTGTGGTCATTTTACCCTCGCTCTCTTACCTTGGGCAGTTAGCTTCATGTTTACTGTACAATCAGCTACTATAGTTTTTCTAAATATTATCTAAACTACTTAAAGTGTCAGGCTTCCTTCAGGTTGTATGTCTATACAGGTGGATGAAAAGAAGAATTTGTGAGGGGTTACCCAGCTTCCCGGCCAGCTCTGGAGCATGTTCTGAGTCACCAGTGACTGTCGTTGCTCCATTTCTTGAACGGGAGTCATCTGATTAAAAAACAGACAAAAACAAGACATTAAAACTAAGACAGAAGCACAAAATGTTTCATTAATTCCACATTACCCATGCGGCAAGAACAAAGTAAACATATGTGTGAATAATACAAAAGTTTATTTTTCTTTTTAAAAAAAAACAGGCAAAAGGAAAAAAACTTTCCAACTGTGGGTTGAGGAAAGGTTATTCTGATTTCCGTCTGCTCATTCACAGCTGCTTCAGCAGGAGGCCATTGTTCTACAAGAGATCATGAATACTTTCATGATCAGAAGATGAGGGCTAGAAAAATAGAGGCTACTCTTGAAACACTTATTGTTCAAAGTTTTTTTCTAATGAAAATGGAAAATGAGAAGTATTCATGTTGTAAAATAAATGGTGGAGCATTAGAGATGCATCAACTGTGGGTTTAAGGGCCAATCCCAGTACTGCTCTGACCTCCCAGTTCACATCTTTAGCCAATGTCCTGTAATCTTGAAGGAATAATAATAATAATAATAATAACCTATGATTTATAACCATTTCACGTGAAATCTTAAACATAATGATATGAGCAAACTTGCACTTGTAATATCTCAATATTTTGTGTGATTGAACACTTGGAAGTGTTGTGGCTCTCACGTAATACCACATAAGCCCTGATTTAGGCCAGTATCTAAAACTAAATGTCTCTCTCTCAATTTTAATTTTTATAATTTTTATTTTACACTATTTTTAGAATTTGGTTGACTCCAAAAGCGAATCCATTGATGTACTTGTAATGGTTACTTCCTGAAAATTCCAATAATATCCACCCAGTGGCTCATAAGACTGATTGCTGACATCACAAATGAACACACACATGCCCTTGCAGGTGATTTTAAAAAGTACACTGATAAAAGGTGAGCTTGTTGAATGTGATTTCAAGTTAAAATGTTCCCTTACATTTGATTTTGTTTAACTCTTCAGTCATCAACCAACACCACAATTCATATTGATCATTGATCAAAGCAATAACCCCTTTTCAGTTTTTGCCTCCGTGACACAAAAACTGAGTCCAACATTGGATAATTGTACATTATTCCATCTCTGGTCTCAAGCTGCTATTATACATCTTACATTATATTTTTGTGTCATTACTACATCCTTGCTGTAAATAATTTACAATCTCTATTCTATTCTTATTTCTCTTTCCATTTACACACACACACACACACACACACACACACACACACACACACACACACACACACACACACACACACACACACACACACACACACAAATTTGTGTGAACCTGTTTTTTCTTAACTTACTTGTAACTTTGCTGCAAGTGCACCAGAATTTACCCAATGAGGGGCAATAAAGGGCTTTATTATTATTATTATTATTATTATTATCATTATATTGAATTAGAAAATTTAAATTATTACCTCAAATCACTATCAATAAACTTCAACTACTGTATCTTCACACACATTAGGTCCAGACTAAAGCCTGTGAGAAAGCATGATCTGATAATGAGTAGGTCTTCATCCTGGATGTGTTCAGTCATTCTCTATAGAACCGTATTGCTTTCAGGTGTTTTGGGTATCAAGTATCTCCCCTTAGCATGTTTACCTGTACTGATGACAAAAACATCTGTACATCTGTGCAGACCTTTGTGTTTAGAAACACTTTAAAATGCAGCTGGTGTATCTCAGAGGCTTGTTAAAGCAATAGTTTGGAGGTGAGTTGGCTGGCACAGTTTTACATCGGGTCAGTCAAAATACAAGTAGGGATGAGGGAGGAGCACTTCTTATGGAATGAAAAAACATGGAATCAAACAGCTTTGAGAGAGAGTGTGCTCAACTATAAAGTGGTTTATATTATTTTGATACATAAAATCACTTAGGGGGGATTTTCTAAGAAGGTTCACATTGTTGAATGCTGTGCCAAAGTGTTTTTATGTGGCAGATATAATAAAGATGCGTATGAATATGATGCAGGTCCTGCATCCCAAAGGCTGGTATTATTAGCTTCCTGACAGGCCATGTGGCCCAGACTATGCAAGTGTGTGTGACATGAATTACTGCATGGGCGTGTCGCTGCATGTGTGGATTCATGTGTCTTGGCAATGCTCCATTTAATGGTAACTTGAGGTGCTGGTATTCCTGTCAAACCGCACTCGTCTTTACCTCTTTTGGTCTCCCCCCTTCATCCCTCTCTGTTCCCACATGCATGGCAAGTTCTGAGAAAAGGGCAGAGCGTTTGAAGCCGAGCGGTATGGGGGTCTATTCTGAAGGGGGGAACATGGTTTAGTACTCTTAGCAAAAAGTAAACCCTCCCCCCTGCCTCATGTGAGACCCTAAATTTTACTCTGCTGACTGAGACTCCAGTCTGCATTTCCTTCAGATGGAAATTTCTGTATCGGAAGTTTAGAACAGTGCAGGCCTTTCAGTGGCTTTTAAATTAGGTTTTGTTCTAGTTTGTAATAAAATGAACTAAACTATCATATTTACAGTTCTATAAGAAGTCATTTTAGGTGCAATATTTACAACTTAAGTAAGAATGACATCCTGTGGTCAAATCTGGGTACTGCAGCCCATTTTTATAAACAAAAGGTGACTTTTTCACTGCCGCTCTTTGAGTTTCATGGCTGTTGCCAGTTACGGATCAGTGCTAGAAGATTCTAAATGACAAGCAAAGATTGGCCGTACACAGTAAGTTGATAAGTAGATAAACACATTGTCATATCTGATGCTAGCACTCTTGGATGTTTTACAGTAGTGAGCACTTAGTACATTTATTACAGTAGCATACCTCTGGCACTAGGGGAGTCCAGTTGTTTGTCACTTTGCTGTTAGCTTGCTGTTATATTTCTTAAGCACTCATTAAGTAAAACACCATGATTGACTCATTACTCACTTCACACTTACATTTCATTGTAATATAGAGATGTTGGTAATTGAAAAAATAGTTTGAGCTATTTTTAGAGCCAAATTTTTGCTTCTGTCACTGTTAGCATTCTTAGCTCAATTAACCCTCCCACCTTCCTAATGGGTGTGACCCCGCGAGGAAAGTTGACCATTGAGCAGGGTTGATGGTTTATCCCTTGGGTCCAAGTGGCAGGGGTGAGGAGTGAGCACCACCTCACCCCTGCCACGTGGACCTCAAGGCATCAACCATCAATCCTGCTCAATGGTCAACTTTCCTCGCGGGGTCACCCATTAGGACGGTGGGAGGGTTAAATAAAAGCCCAACACATACCCAAAATGAGCATATAAAAATTTAAATTTCAGAGTAACATAGGCTGGTAAGGAGTCAAGTAACAGGAAAATGAGAAAGAAATGTCATGGGTTTAGTTCATTTAATAACCATACATACAGGAATTTCAGGCCAGCTTCTCATGGCTCATATCAATCAAACACCATGTCTGGAACATTACCACAGAAACATGGATTTAACCACTCTGAACTCCCAAAGCCAAAGTTAAAAACTCAAAGCGTGGCAATGCTAGTTTAACATAACTGTACTGTGTATGATGTGCCCCAAAAGACTGTAAATAAATCAACCATGTAGAAAAATCATATAAAAAACAGATTTTTTCGCAAATAAGATAAAAATGTAAGCTGGGAAGTTTTATGATAGTAAATCAGAAAGATAAAACCTTAAGATTTGGCAAACTTGTAGAATAAGGAGTTACTGTCACACAAAGCCTCTGAGGCTCAAAACAAGTTTTGATAAAAGGACGAACAACTAGGTCCTTCAGGGGTACTTCTGAGTTAAAAAATACTCATGAAATACGTATGTGGAGTAACCAGGTAGCTAGGTTTTAACGTTGCAAATCTGCAACGCCTGCCTCCAGAGGGTTAAAGAGTTACATATTACTAATATATTTATATTATAGTGCAGAGAGCACATTTTCTTGCCTTTTGTACCCATCAGAACACAAAACATTGCCTTTTCATCCAAGTGCAATGCAGCATTTGGGCTGAAACTTCAGCCAGAGACAAGATTTTCCCGGTAAAGTGTTCTTTTTTCATTTAGAGTGACAGATTATTATTTATGTGGTCTACCAGAAGGTGTACTTGTTCTGAAGACACCTTTGGATTGACAGGAAACAAGTGGTTTGTTAAACGGGACAAAAATGTACTAACTGCACCCTGTGTAATTGGTTCAGTGAAAGACGTGCTACTCTGGGTGTGTTTAGGATAAGAATTTAGTCATAGTGTTTTCTGAGTATTTCTAGTGCAGAGGTTAGCAAGCTGCAGGTTGATTAGTTGTGGAAATATCTGACAGCTTTGATGTCCTTCATGAGCTGTGTGCTAACCTAAATCTACTCAATAGATTTGATTGAAGCTGTGCCACTGAAACGTATGTTCACCTCTTTCCCGTGAACAAACTCTACCACTGCTACATGACATCAATAAGTTTTACACGACTGCTTTTTTAACCCTGTCAGGCTCAAAACAAGTTTTGATAAAAGGACGAATAACTAAGTCCTTCAGGGGTACTTCTGAGTTAAAAATTGCTCATGAAATACGTATGTGGAGTAACCAGGTAGGTGGGTTTTAACTGTTGCAAATCTGCAACGCCTGCCTCCAGAGGGTTAAATGTGACAAAAAAGTAGTGATTTTGATCTTTAAAAAAAATTACTTTTCTTGACTAATCGGATACTAAGAACATCTACCAAAACACAAAGCTGTCAAAGTGGGGCATTTCTGTGAAATGCCTAAAATAAGAACCCTATTTGATCCTAAAATAAGAGCACGATTTTTAGACTTGGACCAACTGTGGAGACCAGAGTTAATCTCTGACTATAAACAAACAATGTTGCCCAGATGACCAGCTGACTCCTCTGTTATCACCACTCTGAAGGCTTGAGGTTGAATCTTTTGTCTAAAAAAGTTCAGAGAGAAAGAGAGAGCAAAGCTCATTGTGCACCGAGACTACAGCCATAAAGACCTTGGTGTGTTTGTTTCTGCCACAACCATTAACCTGGATGGACAAATAATTGCTTTATATACATTATTCT